AAAAAAAAATCACTTGACGGACTTAGACCAAATGTTAATGAATGTTATGTTTGGATGGCAGGATAATGAAATTCCCCTTTCTACTTTTATATGTTTGCTAAATTTTCTGTAAGAAGTATATATTATTTCAATTTTAAAATTCCTTGTTCTCTATTCCTGTTACCTATGCATACAAATTAGTTCTTTAGCAACTAGTTAGGAATTAACTATTGTGTCATATGTTACTTATGCATACAAATTAGTTCTTTAGCAACTAGTTTGGAATTAACTATTAAATTAATCACAAAGAAACAAAAGATTTTGAGATGCTATTTGCAAGTTAAACTATTGTCATTGTCTTCCTTCAGGATTCTCTTTCCAGTCACTTCTGGCATTCTTCATTCCTTTGTGTATATCAGTGTTTCTCAATGGAGAGAGAGGAGGGGTAGAGATAGAAGATATTTTGTGCCTCAAGGGACATTTGGAAATGTCTGGGGATATTTCTTGTTGTCACAATTTGGGTGAGGGGTATGACTGGTTGCTACTAGCATTGAGTAGACGTCAGGGAAGCTGCTAAACATTCTACAATGCACAGGGCAGCCTCTCACAACAAATAATTATCTAGTCCCAAATGTCAATAGTTGCTGAGGTTGAGAAACTAGTATTATCTAAACTTCCATAGGATATCATTTGCCTTCTCTCTGAAGAATTTTCTTTAGCATTTCTGGTAGTTCAGGTCTACCAGGGACAAATTCTCATAGTCTTTGTTGTTTTGAAGTATTTCCCCTTCATTTTGGAAAGATATTTTTGTTCAACATAGAATTCTGAGTTGGTGGGTTTTTTTATTGCTTTAAAGATATTGCTCCATTGCCTTTGGCTTACATAGTTTCCAATTATTTTCTTTCTTTCTTTCCTTTCTTTTCATTTTTTTCTTTCTTTTCAAGGTAACAGCTTTATTTTCATTGATATTTAGTTTACACACATTTTTGCAATTAATATTAATTATACAAAAAATATAAAACATGACATTTTAAAATAGAACTGTGGAATAGTTTGACTTTTGTCACTACTATATGTAAGTACACATGTTTATTCATAAGCTAAAAGGAAATTCAAATGTATGTCATAATAGGAAAGAGCATTTTACTAATTTAAGTGTTTTTTTTTTTTTTCTGTCAACCTCTAAGCATTTGCTTACTTGAACTAATGTGATATGGTTTGGCTGTGTCCCCACCCAAATCTCATCTTGCATTGTAGCTCCCATAATTCCATGTGTTGTGAGAGGGACTCGGTGGGAGATAATTGAATCAAGGGGGTGGGTCTTTCCCATGCTGTTCTTATGATAATAAGATCTTGGCTCACTACAACCTCCACCTCCCAGGTTCAAGCAATTCTCCTGCCTCAGCCTCCCAAGTAGCTGGGATTGCAGGCATCTGCCACCATGCCTGGCTAATTTTTGTATTTTTAGTAGAGACAGGATTTCGTCATTTTGGCCAGGCTGGTCTCCAACTCCTGACCTCGTAATCAACCTACCTCGGCCTCCAAAAGTGCTGGGATTATAGACATGAGCCACCATGCCCAGCTGATCTGATGGTTTTACAAAGGAGAGTTCACCTACATATATCCTCCTGCCTGCCACAATGTAAGGCTTCCCTTTGCTTTTTCTTTGTCATCTGTCATGATTGTGAGGCCTCCCCAGCCACGTGGAACTGTGAGTCGATTAAATATCTTTCCTTTATAAATTGTCCAGTCTTGGATATGTCTTTATTAGCAGCATGATAATGGACTAATACAGTAAATTTGTACGGTTAGAATTGGGTACTTCTGTAAAGTTATTTGAAAATGTGGAAGAAACTTTGGAACTGGGTAACAGGCAGAGGCTGGGATAGTTTGGAGGACTCAGAAGAAGACAGAAAAATGTTGGAAAGTTTGGAACTTACTAGAGACTTGTTAAAGGGCTTTGACCAAAATGCTGATCGTGATATGGACAATAAAGTCCAGGCTGAGGTGGTCTCAGATGGAGATGAGGAACTTATTAGGAACTGGAGCAAAGGTGATTCTTGCTATGTTTTAGCAAAGAGACTGGTGGCATTTTGCCCTTGCCCTAGAGATCTATGGAACTGTCAACTTGAGAGAGATGATTTAGGGCCTCTAGCAGAAGAAATCTGTAAGCAGCAAAGCTTTCATGAGGTGAGTTGGGTGCTGTTAAAAACATTCAGTTTTATGTATTCACAAAGATATAGTTTGGAACTTATGTTTTAAAGGGAAGCAGAGCATTAAAGTTCAGAAAATTTGCAGTCTGATGATGTGATAGAAAAGAAAAACCCATTTTCTGAGGAGAAATCCAAGCTGGCTGCAGAAATTTGCATAAATGACGAGCCAAATGTTAATTGGCAAGGCAATAGGGAAAATGTTTTCAGGGCATGTCAGATGTCAGGGCAGCCCCTCCCATCACAGGCCTGGAGGCCTAGGAGGTTTCCTGAGCTGGGCCTAGGGCCTTGCTGCTTTGTGTAGTCTTGGTAATTGGTGCCCTGAGTCCCAGGTGTGGCTAAAAGGGGCCAATGTAGAGCTCAGGCCATTGTTTCAGAGAGTGTAAGCCCCAAGTCTTGGCAGCTTCCCCACTGTGTTGAGCCTGCAGGTATATAGAAGTCAAGAATTGAGGTTTCGGAATTTCCACTTAGATTTCAGATGATGTGTGGAAGTGCCTGGATGTCCAGGCAAAAGTTTTCTGCAGGGGCAGAGCCCTCATGGAGAACCTCTGCTAGAGCTGTGTGGAAAGGAAATGTGGGGTCAGAGCCCCTACACAGAGTCCCCACTGGGGCACTATCTAGTACAGCTGTGAGAAGAGGGACACCATCCTCCAGACCCCAGAATGGTGGATCCACTAACAGCTTTCACCATGCACCTGGAAAAGCTGCAGACACTCAATGCCAGCCTGTGAAAGCAGTCAGGAGACAGAATGTATCTTGCAAAACCACAGAGGCAAAGCTGCCCAAGACCATGGGAACCCATCTCTGGCATCAGTGTGACCTGGATGTGAGTCATGAATCAAAGGAGATCATTTTGGAGCTTTAAGATTTGACTGCCCTGCTGGATTTCAGAATTGCATGGGGCCTGTTGCCCCTTTGTTTTGGTCAATTCCTCCCATTTGGAATAGGTACATTTACCAAATGCCTGTACCTCCATTACATCTGGGAAGTAACTAACTTGCTTTTGATTTTACAAGCTCATAGGCAGAAGGGACTTGCCTTGTCTCAGATGACACTTTGGACTGTGGACTTTTGAGTTAATGCTGAAATGAGTTAAGACTTTGGGGGACTGTTGGGAAGGTATGTTTGGTTTTGTAATGTGGGGGCATGAGGTTTGGGAGGGGCCAGGGGCTGAATGAAATGGTTTGGCTTGTATCCTCAACCAAATATCATCTTGAATTATTACTCCCATAATTCCCAAGTGTCATAGGAGGGACACAGTGGGAGGTAATTGAATCATAGGGGCCAGTCTTACCCATGCTGTTCTTATGATGGTGAATAAGTCTCATGAGATCTGATGGTTTTATAAAGCCACATTCTCCTGCACACATCCTCTTGACTACCACCATGTAAGATGTGCCCTTCCCCTCCTTTGCCTTCTGCCTTGATTGTGAGACCTCCCCAGCCATGTAGAACTGTGAGTCCATTAAACCTCTTTTGCTTTATAAATTACTCAGTCTTGGGTATGTCTTTATTAGCATTGTGAGAACTGACTAATGTGTAATGTTTCCATGGTTCATCTTGGTCACAGGCATTGACCAGCAAAAGTCTTTGCATTTCACAGATACATTAAAACCTACATTATCAACAAAATCCCAAGTAACTTTCTTTTTTTTTTTTGATATTTTATTCTTTTTAAAATATTTTCAACTTTTGTTTTAGATTCAGGGGTACGTATGCAGGTTTGTTACCTGGGTGTATTGTGTAATGCTGAGGACTGAGGTACAATTGATCCTATCACCCAGGTAGTGAGCATAGCACTCAGTGGGTAGTTTTTCGACTCCTACTCCCCCTTACTCCCTCCCCTCTATAGTAGTTCCCAGTTTCTATTGTTCCCATCTTTATGTTCATGTGTACCCGAAGTTTAGCTCCCACTTATAAGTGAGAACATGTAATATCTGAGTTTCTGTTTCTGTATTAATTAACTTAGGATAATGGCCTCCAGCTGCATCCATGTTGCTACAAAGGACATGATTTCATTCTTTTGTATGTAGTTTCTATTTCTGATCATAGTCTACCATTTTATTCTCTGGCTGCTTTTAAGATTTTTTTTTTATCAATGGTTTTTTGATATTTTATTATGATGTGTGTTGAAGTTTCCTTTGTGTTTCTCTTGCTGGGGGTTAGTTGAACTTCTTGCATTGTGGGTTTATGGTTTTATTATCAGTTTTTGAAAAACTTCAACCATTATTTTTTCAAATATATTTTCTGCCAGCACTTCTCTTTCTGAAATCCAGTTATGCATTTGTTAAACACTTCATATTGTTTCATAGATCATTAAGACTACTAATTTTCTTCAGTCTTTTTCCCTCTCCAGTGCTTTGTTTTGTATAGTTCCTACTGCTATGTCTTCAAGTTTATCAACTTTTTCTTATGAATGATCTAATCTACTTTTAATCCCATCCAGTCAGTGTTTCATTTCAGGTATTGTATTTTTCATTTCTAGAAGTTCCCATTTGATTTGTTTTGATATTTTCCATTTCTTTCCTTATTATGTTCACATTTTCTTTTCTTATTCTTTTTTAATTTTTTTTGAGACAGAGTCTTACTCTGTTGCCCAGGCTGGAGTGCAAAGGCTTGATTTCAGCTCACTGCAATCTCTGCCTCCTGGGTTCAAGTGATTCTCATGCTTTGGCCTCCCAAGATGGGATTACAGACACGTACCACCACACTCAGCTAGTTTTTGTATTTTTAGTAGAGACAGAGTTTCACTATGTTGGCTAGGCTCGTCTTGAATTCCTGGCCTCAAGTGATCCTCCCACCTCAGCCTCCCAAAGTGCTGGGATCACAGGCATGAGCCACTGTGATCAGCCTATGTTCACATGTTCCTTTCAATCCTTGAACATACTAAGCATATTTATAATAGTTCTTTAAAAATTCTTTTTTGTAGCTTTCATCACCTCTGTCATTTCTGGGCCTGTTTCTCATCCCTAATTTTTCTTTTGCTTTTGGATCATGCTTTCCTCTTTCTTTGCATATCTAGTAATTTTTTACTGAATGCTGAAAATTGTCAATTTTTCATTATTAAGTACCAGATTTTTTTTATTATTTAGAGGTTGTTGGACTTTATTCTGTTAGGCAGTTAAGTTACTTACAGGTCAGCTTAATCCTTTCAAGGCTTAAGGATTGTTGGAGCAGGTTTAGAATAATCATTACTCTAGGCATAGTTTATCCTTTTACTAAAGCTTTTGATGTCTCTACTAAATGTCCCAGATATTCAATGAAAAACCCTCACTCTAGCTGGTTGGACTTGAACATCTCTCAGCCTCATATGAACTTGGAACTGTTCAGTTTACAATTCCCTAGTCAGTTAATTTTTGGACAGCTTCCTGGAATTTCACCTTCTACATGTATGGCTTAGTATTCAGCAACAGACTGAAAGGGTTCTCTATGCAGAGTTCTAGAATCCTTTCTTTGCATAGCTTCCTTCTCTTCTGTAAACTTCAGCTGACTCAATTTCCCAAATTTCAATATCTCTTTCCTTAACTCAGAGAGATCATCTACTCTGCTTATGATTCCCTTTCTTGCTCCATGGCTTAGAAACTGCCTTCAGGTAGGAAACCAAGGTGATTGCAGGGCCTACATGATTTGTTTCCTTCTCTCAGGGACCAAAGCCCTGCACTGCCTGTTGTCCCGTGTCAGAAAACAGTTGCCTTGTATATTGTGTCCAATTTTCTAGTCGTTTATGATAGAAGGGTTAGTCTGGTTCTGGTAATTCCATCATAGCCAGTATTATATTTATTATCAGAAAGAAAACCTTTAAAAGAATTAATAATTTTTAAGTATAAATAAAATTTCTGATCTGAGGTTATAAGCTATAATCTTACTGTAATGTACTCTGTATTTTTGACTCATAACTTCAGTTTTTAATTAAAAAATTTTAGGCTCAGCTTTAGATAACTTGACAGACTTTTATGTCACTGCTAAAATTGTGTGGTAACTGAGAAATTAGCTTAAATCTATTTACTTGGCAACAGATCGTAACAACTTGGAAATGTCTACTCACGTTATTTAAATTTGAATATTATCTTGAGCTAGACTTCTATGGTTTTTTTGAGATGGAGTTTCACTTTTGTTGCCCAGGCTGGAGTGCAATGGTGCAATCTCAGCTCACTGCAACCTCTGACTCCAGGGTTCAAGTGATTCTCCTGCCTCAGCCTCCTAAGTAGCTGGTATTATAGGCACCTGCCACCATGCCCAGCTAATTTTTGTATTTTTAGTAGAGACGGGGTTTCACTATGTTGGCCAGGCTGGTCTCGAACTCTTGACTTCTGGTGATCCACCCGCCTTGGCCTCCCAAAATGCTTGGATTACAGGCATGAGCCACTGCGCGCAGCCGAGCCAGACTTCTTAATTTTATGGTCTTCATGTAGAAAAATACATATTTCCAAAACAACCAGAGACTGATTTTCCTATTGTTAGTGTTCTTAAGAGTTTATTCAGTCTTCCTTCTCTAAGTGCTTATTTTTCTTTTTGTTAAAGTATTACACAGAAAGAATTACCTAGCTGGTCCAGAGTAAATATTTATACATGCTTAGGTGGAAGAGGTTTTGCCAACACAGTAAGATCATTGAGCAACTTTATCCTCTTTACAAAGTAGGAAGTCTATGAAGAGAACCTCTGGGCTATTTTTTAATATTGAAACAAAACGGCCAATAAGCTTGTCAGTTTTTTAAAAGTCACAGCTAAAGATAGAAAATAAACTAATGGATGTGCCTTTTCACCTGTTCTACCAACGGCAGTAGGTAATGGTAAAGGTAATCTACTCATAAGAATGAGATTTGAAGGAAGTTTTGTATGAGAGGAAACACATTTTTCTTCATAGACTTGGCTTCCTCAACCTTAGGTAAAAATTTCAGAAGCTGACTCCAGTGCATATTCCTATGCACTGACTCTTTGCTTAGAGTCTGTCTCCTTCAAAGTCCTAGGAATATGACCACTGCCCTTATAAGTCAAATTTAGAATATGGAAGAACTTTGGGATTCAAAGGGCCCCTTTATTTAGACCCAAAACAACATTACCCTATGCTTGGAAGCAAATGATGCAGAGCATAAGGCTTGCAAATAATCAAGTTCTATCTTTGTATCTCTCTTAAACAGAAACAAGTTGGCTACATTATGCAGGAGAACAATGATGTCCTTCAGAGAGCTGAAAGATTGTCTGTTGCTGGAGAAAACTTCCTCATGGGGAAAAACAATCCTCCTAACTTAGTGACACAGGAAGATCTTACTATTTACACAAAGTGGTTAGTGTGCCACCTGCACTCTCTCAGGACTGTGCACCACTACCTGCAGGTGTGTGAAACCCAGTGATGTGATGATGTGGTACCCTTAAAGGGATGATCAGTACATTGTTTTCTCATATCTGTCACTTAGTTTTAGATTGTCACTGTTTCAGGACTCCACCTGCCCTACAAATGACAGAAAAATAATGGACCATTGGATTTCTTCTTTGAAACCTTAGAAACCAACTTGTTTCTGTTTAAGAGAGATACAAAGATAGAACTTGATTATTTGCAACTTTTCTTTTGAAACTTTATTTTACTGAAATAATTAATTTAGCATTCTCAAAGATGTCTCTGTTGTACTGTTTCATATTTACTCTGTAAGTTCTTGTCTTCATCATTTTGTTCAGGATTTATGCTCTCTGATTTATATCTACTTTTTAAATATTAGGCAATGCTCAGTGAGGGTCTAATATGTGCCAGGTACTTGTCCTAGGAATGCAGCAAAGATACGGCCTTTGCTAAAAGTAACTGGGTTCTAGGCTGGTAGGAGATGGGTAGGTAAATATTCAACTGAAATACAATGGGGTAAAAAACAACAGGATATGTGTAAGCACAGGGTAAAGAGTGTCACAGAGAGGCCCTAAGTCAGGCTAGAGGCATCAGAAAGGAGGAGCATGGTCACATTTCCATTTCAGAAAGATTTTCTACCAACATCTTTTCCTACTTCTCCGCCTTAGCTCAGAGACACCATCACCCACGGAATTGCCATCATCCTGGCTTCATCCTTTCCCCATACCCCAGAAAGTACCCCATAAAATCACGATGGGCTTTACCTCTGATACATTTCTCACCCAGTCACATGGTGTTATAATGATCTGCTTGTAAGCCTGGATCTTCCAGTAAACCATGAGCTCGTTGAGGTTGTATCCTGTCTTATTCCTCTTTGTATCCCCAGCACCTGACACAGTGCCTTGTTCATTCTGGGTGCTTGATCAAAGTAGACCTGTCTGGAGGTTAAGGCCATTCACAGTCAGTAACAGTACTAGGTCTCCCAGCTCCAAATGGAGCCCCTCATCATTGGACAGGGGCTCCACCTCTACTTCTCTTCTCTCCCAAAGCAAAGGGCTGCTCCTGAATCTGAGTCTGGAAACTTCTGTGAGAACTGTGTTGATATTTGGCCTCTTGGTCTTGCCCTTCTATAGGCCCTTTAGTATTTGCCAATCTCCCAAGTGCTGAATGTAGCTGCCAACCAAGTCCTCGAAGTTGGTCAGGAAAATGAAAAGGTCTGTGTCAATGATATTGACCCTGACATTCAGGGTTCTGCATCTCCTGACTCTGTGGATACCAGCATTTTTGGTAAGAAATTAGTCTTCTTTCCCCTAGGGTAATGTGGAGCAAAGAAGATTATAATTTTAGACTTATGCTGGTTGTCCCATGCTCTTGCTAAAAATTGTTCTATATACTTAAAGGTATATATAGAATGTATAAATATACTTCTCTATATATATATACATTCTATATATACTTTTTATATTCTTAATAAACAAGTCTTAATTTAATATCTTCTGATGGGAAAAAGGAACAAACACTTTTTTAGATATGTTTTAATCTCTATCTTTATAATTAGCAAATTAAGAGTGAGAGAAAAAGATGGAGTTGAAGTCAGCAGTACTGGGCTCTAGGCTTGTTCCTGTCCTGGCTCCCTGTGGCCTGCAGTTCATCTCCTTGGGCCTCTATTTGGTCATCTCCATAATAAATCTTTCAGAATCAGTGATCTCCAAGGCTCCTTCCAGTTTTAGTTATTTCTATTTCTATTTATTATTATTATTTTTTGAGACAGAGTCTCACTCTTTTGCCCAGGCTGGAGTGCAGTGGTGTGATCTCAGCTAACTATAACCTTTGCCTCCCAGGTTCAAGCAATTCTGCTGCCTCAGCCTCCCGAGTAGCTGGGATTACAGGTGCGCACCACCATATCCAGCTAATTTTTTGAATTTTTATCACAGACAGGTTTTGCCATGTTGGCCAGGCTGATCTCCAACTCCTGACCTCGTGATCCACCCACCTCGGCCTCCCAAAGTGCTGGGATTACAGGCGTGAGCCACCATGCCCAGCCCCAGTTTTCATATTACATAAATCTAAAATAATTTCCTCATCTGAATCAAATTAATGCAGTTTTCCTGCCCTTACCTTGTGTTACAGATGACTAAGAAATCTGACAAGATTTCTACTACAAGTGACATTCTTGCTTGGATGCACGGAGTGTCCCCGGAGTGCCTGGGTGAGGCAGCCAACCCTGGCTGTGGGGCATCTGAGAAGGCTTCTTGAAGGAGGGGAGTCCAAACTGGGCCCTTAGAGATAAGGGGGAGTCAGCCAGGTGAAAGCAGATGAAGTTTTCACCTTCTTCTAATTTGTTGGTTAAATTTATAAATAATATTTTTTATTTACCACAAAGGACTATAGGCAATTCTGTTCCAAGTCATTCCCAAAAAGGTCTGTTGGGTTTCTCCTGTAGGCTGTGAGATGGCAAGGAGTCCTTGTTGCCTCTTACCAAAGCCCAGCTCCAAGGATTTGTCAGATCCACCTGGCCAAGTAGGGTGCAGACTATAAATTGTGGCAGAAAATGTTGTGAAAGGAGCAGAATGGGCATCCCATCAGGAGAGGAGCTCCTACTTCCAGCTCCTACTTCCATTTTCTCTCCCTTACAGTATTCATTGGTCTTAGTGCTCTTGATTCTAGTTTTCTTCAGGGCCAATGAGAACAGAAGTTGCTTTTGTCCTGCCCCAACACACAACAGAAACAGGAGAACTGAAACCTCAGATGAAGCTCCTGCTCTCCCATTTCAATATCCCATATGACATGGAAGAGCTAAGGGACTCTGCTAAGGAAATGGAATATTTTCCTTGGTATTCGATATATTCTTTCTTAATACAAATATAGGTGTTCATGAAAGAAAGCACTGGTATTTGTCACAAAGTTACACATTTTACTACCAACGATTGTTTCTAGAGTGATCATATAAAGTAGTAATAGATGAAATTTCGATTAGCAGTTGGGAAGTACTTCCTCTGTAAGAGTAATGGGACCCTTGAATAGTGAACCCAGAGGATTGCAGAATTTTTGCAAAAAAATTCTGTTTTTCTGCAGAATTTTAAGCAAAAGTAGTGTACAGTCTATAGTAGATGATGTAAAGATTTGGCAAATTTGCACGGCAGAGTTGTCAATTATCCAAAGCCCTCCAATTCTCAAAATGTATTGCAATAGCTCTTCTTATTGACAAAATGCTTTATATTATTAGAGAGTACATTGTGTAGTGATGTTTAAAGTCATGCAGTCTTCTCTGCTATAACACAGTGTTGTACTTCCTGAAATAAAAACAACTCATATTATCAAAAGCCATGTTAAAACTTGTTTCAAAGGGGGCCAGGCATGGTAGCTCATGTCTGTAATCACAGCGCTTTGAGAGGCTGAAGCAGGGGATCACTTGAGCCCAGGAGTTCAAGACTAGCCCAGCTTGGGCAACATAGTGATACTCTGTCTCAAAAACAAACCAACAAACCAACAAACAAAACTTGTTTCAAAGGGAAAAATAGAACTATACTATAGGTAAATAGTTTCAGATTTTTTTTTATTATATTTTAAGTCCCGGGGTACATGTGCACATCTTGCAGGATTGTTGCATAGGAACACACATGCCATGGTGGTTTGCTGCCTCCATCCCCCCATCACCTACATCAGGCATTT